ACTTTGACACGTCACTCCTGATCATTTAAGACTTGTCCTGACACATTCAAAATTTGGATTTTTGGAAAACATTTTTTAACTCAGTCCAGACCGGAACCAAAATGGCGTCGAGCTCTCATATTTCGATCGATATACAATTATCGAAGGCTCTGATATGAGAAACGAAAGGGTCAGGACAATTTTACAACAATTTAGAACACTCTGGTAATCGATAAACTCGCATTTAAACGGGATAGAGGCAAAAAAAGTGTTGTATGTGTTTCTATGCTAAAACGATGGGAATACCAGGTCTCGGAGGGAAAATTTAATTGACCTGGAAATCACAGATGGCGCAGGGGGTCCCTCTGCAGTCAATTAGGGCCCCAGAAAGCATGAATCCAGGGGATTTCTGGAGTTTTACTTCGATTTCTTGATATTTATTATACGAAAACGACAGGTGGAGTATGCCATTTGGTACAATATCCAATTTAATTCGACACAGCTGTCAATATAAAAACGAACGTCGGCAACGTAGGCATTTAGAAAAATCTTCTTTATCGACGTCGATCAAGTTCCTCGAGGTGTTTCACTTCACCCTAAGGGCCTAGACGGAGGCATTTAGAAAAATCTTCTTCATCGACATCGATCAAGTTCCTCGAGGTGTTTCACTTCACCCTAAGGGCCTAGTCGGACCCCGATCACGGTCCTCGGGCGCCTGGTCCCGTCCGTCCCTCCGGGTGGGCCGCCTCGGGGTGAACGTCGTCGCAGTCCTCGTAGGCCTCTGATCCTCCCACACACAACACGTCGCGATCCCAAACCGCGAGGTCGAAATGGGCCTTTTCCAACGTGTGTGAACGGACGCCTGCGAACCGAAACTCCAGTGCGGATTCAACGCAGACTCAGGGGTAGGATCGCGAGGACACCCTTCCATTCAGCTGGTGAACGCATCAGTGTACCAGTTCATTTTCTCTCAGGGTGCTATTCAATTTGAAAAGACGATTCCCTCTCTCTCTCTCTAGATTGATGATTTTCACCATTTATGAGTATCATTGCCCCCAATTTCTGCTAAACGATGAATAAGTTGACCGATAAGGAAAGGAAGAGGCTGAATAGGATCGCAGGGATAATCGGAAATTACTCCAAATGGCGGAGTGAAACGTAAAGGTACCGACACGTGCAAGCCAGTGCACGTGTCGGTACGCAGTGGACATTCACGTGCTGCATGTCCCAATGCGACGTGTTTATCATCTCGATAACACGTGTACCACCCTTGGGACGCTTTAGTTGATTTTATACCGCCTGCAAGTGTGATAAACAAAATAATCGTCGCTCTTCAATGTAGCAGAGTAACATCCGATTACGTTAAAATGAGATGAACTTTAGGTAGACATTCATCGCCGTCTATAAAAGACTACAAGTAACGTGTTTTACACGTGACATTTTCTTCCAAATAGGAACACCATCACGCGTTAAGCACATCAAATCGCATTCGGCGTACGACATCGAATATGATACCGACAAAGAGGGCAAATGTTGAATTTAATGGGCCACTCGGAGGTTAGTTTAGGTTCCTGTCTATCCATTCCCGTAGCAATTTCTATAGGTACGGTTACGTGTATGTAACGTCCTGCCAGACGGTGAGGAGTTTGGCTATCGATCGCCTGCAGCAGTAGCAGCACCGTGGTCGCCTCCCTTTTCCCTTCTCATCAGTATTCTTCTTCTTCCAACCCCTTGCCCTCTCCCTCTCCGCCCTAACCCCTCCCTTCCGCTCACTCTGCGTATATCCACTCTGTAGTCCATTGCTTCGATGGCATGAATTTCAACATGGACCACGCGAGACATATGTATCCGTACAATTTTATATCGATTGGTCTGTATCATCGATTCATCGGCTGAAATTACCAACCCGCAAAAAAAATGCCAAACCATTGCGTCTGCAATCGCATAGGGGAGTTTAGTTAACACTATTTCTACCAAAGGTTTCAAAAGACACATTTTACAATTTTAACTTGAAATTATTTTCAAAGTTTAATAATTTTTCTCTCAATTGATGTTTTGAATTTTCGTGTAATAATTGTTATATTTATTTAGCGGTATCATTTTCCTCCAGCTCATCGAAACTTTTTGGTCGAAATAGGTATACACAAAATCGTGGTAGAAATAGTGTTAATAACCTTGCAACGGGTAAAATCATACTATAATTGGGGTTACTGCTGCTAGATAAACCTTCTATTTCACCGTGATTATTATAATCTCTTCGTATAGTTAATATTAATAATCGAAATGTTGATAACTCCTGCACCTTTCAAGGGCAGCGCCATGGATACGGTACCAATTGGCAAGGTTACATATTCCATGTGGTTTCACTTCCCACGGTATTTTAATCATGTACTTATAGTAATTGTATCCAAAATTATTTTTTTCTCCGTGGTTTATACCATCGATACATTCGTTCAAATTACCAACGCGGGAAAAAATGCACGATCTAGCTCGATAAAAATATCGTGTTCTCGAAAGGATATTTTTCTTTTTTTTAACTAAACATTTAACTATTATCCAGATATGTGCCCATAATTATGAAAGTGGTCTAAGTCATATATTTTTTGTTTCGAAATTACATTGAATTAATTTCGTTTGAAATAATATGGCGTGAAATAACTGATAAACTCATTTTTTTTTTTAATTTTGACTTAGACCACTCATAATTATGGGCACATATCAAACCTTACAGTTCGGGGGAGAAAAAGCAAATCTTTATTTATCTTTATCCGGAGGATAGCTAGGGAGGGTAGAGGGTAAAAAAAATCGAGCATTAGTGAACGCTTCCTGCTGAAGAGGGTTAAATGTACGAAAGGAGGAAGTTTTGGACATACGCCCAAAATGCGATTCCGGAAAACAAAGTAAGCCGGAGAGATATCAAAACCAGGATGTATTTTTACGAGATCGGTTTTGTCTTGCGAGCATTAAATCGTTAAGAGATTCGCGATTGCGGATGTGACCCGCTATTGTAATATTTCATTTGCCAGGCATATTTAGTTACGAATTCAATTGCCGCAATCGACCCTGGTTGAAACGGCGAGTTTGAAGACATCGTCAAGCAGGCGTTCCACATCTCATCGTGTAGACATATTATAGGTAGATGTTTCGCATTTTCAAGATATTTTCGTGGTCTCGCAGGGTCCTTATAATATACTAACGAAAACGTGTGCGTCGTGCATATAGGACGACGCATCGGTGTTCTATATTTAGAAGATGCACGTACATCGAGGGTTCTCTGTAGACAAAAACGTAGCACATACGATTAGTTATAAAGCAGTTCTATATCATACGAAGCACTCTATATATGCGCGAATGCTCTAAGGTGATATTAAGGTGATGAGAAAGTGGCCTTTGAGGTGTCAAATTATTTATAAAATAATTCCTCGAACTGGGTACACTCGAATCGCTTGAAATTTTACTCCGCGAAAATGGACGCCCTAAGAGCGGCCATGAAATTTTATTTCTTATATATTTTTCTATTAACCATGGACGACACTATGCGCCTTTGTTGATACACGAAATCCCCTTAGCTTCATGCAAGAACTTATATGACAGACGCTAGCTTCAAAAAGTTAAGTTGTTTGGTTAAGAATGAATATAAAATATTTTCAAGCGTACTTCCAGCGTTAAGAAATTTGGAATACAATTAAACACGTCTTCATCCGTTTTGCCATAAGATGTTAATACATCCTCAATGTAATCCATGTTTTCCTCGCGTTTGTGCAGGTTTTAGGTTGAAGTTCGATTAACCGTAGTTAAACGATCGAATTTAGTTGGTTAATGGAAACTAACCCGCCGTTAAAATATGCCGAAACGTGCAACTCGTAACCGAGGATTAACTTTTTGACCGAGGTCGCTGGAACCGGGCATAAGTGTGCCAATTCGTACAATTCTCAATGTAGTACGACAGAGATATTCGCCTCAAATAAATCTAAACGTCGGTAATGCGGCATGCTGTTTCAGGTGGTACACCAGGAAGGCAATTCTTATTTACCGACTTCGATTAAATTTCCCGGCGCCTTTCACATCCCCTTACATTCATAGGGAGGGGCACGAGGTGTGGCGGTGCACCGCAGAGTGAATACAAACAAGCATGGATCTAGGAATAAAGTGTTACTATAAAAGTTACTATAAAAAAAAAAACTATAAAAGTAGACTCTGGAAGAGGGGGGGTTAGACCTATATGAGAGCTTAACTTGTACCAAGTAGGGCCTACACGACTTATCTCGGGAAATAGAACGGAAAAGGGTTGACATAGATTGCGCAGGCTCAAAGAAGGGCTAAAATGTCGGCGCGAGTAGTCTCTGAACAATGTGCTGGGAACGTGCGTTTCGGTATAATAGTTTAACGTTTCTGGGGAGACTCGGTATCGGGAACACGGTTGGTTGATCGACCTTGGTTCCAACGTGGTAGACCGAGAATGTTTTGGTGTTAGGTCGGAGATCACAGGGTTAGACCTATATGAGAGCTTAACTTGTACCAAGTAGGGCCTACACGACTTATCTCGGGAAATAGAACGGAAAAGGGTTGACTTAGATCGCGGAGACTCAAAGAAGGGCTAAAATGTCGGCGCGGGTAGTCTCTGAACAATGTGCTGGGAACGTGCGTTTTGGTATAATAGTTTAACGTTTCTGGGGAGACTCGGCATCGGGAACACGGTTGGTTGGTCGACCTTGGTTCCAACGTGGTAGACCGAGAACGTTTTGGTGTTAGGTCGGAGATCACATCCGGCGAGGCGACGAGAGTCAGCAGCCCGGGTCCCAGGAACGTCCGCTGGTGGTGGTGGTGGTGGTCGTGGTGGTGGTTGTACCGAAGCTCTCATCGCATTGCGTCGGTTCGAGGGCAAGTCTAGTAAGCTAGGACAAGTGCTATAAATAACTGTTTAGGGTGCCGTACCTGGCCGCGGCGCGGCGCGTCGCGGCTCGTCGTGTCGCGTCCGTCCAGATACGCGGCGCCTCGTCTCCCGGCGTCTCAGTGCCGTCGCGACGACCGACCGTTTCTTGCGATACGGAGATTCTGCGATCGATCTCTGGCTCCGATCCGAAGAGCGACCGCGCGTGCTCTCGTTGCCGAGATTTCGGGATCCTCTCTCGTGAGCGCGACTTGCGATCGGTTGGTGCTACCCCTTAAAGGGACGAACTCTAAACACTCTAGAAGACGTAATTACGGCAAGAAGTTAGTTGAAATGCGAGGCCCGTTAAATGGACCGAAGTACTCCTCCCGATTTCTCTCTTCGGTTCGATCGGAATCTAATTAGTCGCGGTTCTGTGTTCGGGCGCTGTTGGGGCCGCCAACTCGAACGTTGTGGCAGAAATTTCCTCTTTCCTCCGTACGTTGGACCCGGTTCCGTATATACGGGAAAGTGTTGGTGGGTGGAAAATTTTTCCTAAATTCGGAAGGTGTAGGGCTAACTAACGCGATCCTGAATTTCATCCTAAGTGGAGTGCCCTTGATTCTTTGCACTTTTCTCCCAACTTGGGACTGGATACTTACCAGACGGTTACCCCGAGAAAACGATTTCTTTCATTGGTAACGAGCATGTTTGGATGAAACTTAGGTTTCCTTTGTTATACAGTGGAACGGTGGATATTTCATTGAAACATATTTGCCGATTGACCATATTTCTTTGATGTAATCGAATGATTTGCTTCGTTTGAATTCAATATATAATATGTTTCATTTAAACGAACATTGTAAGAGACGGAGTGATTTTCTATTAACGGAGGCAAAGGAGCTCGGATGTCCGGCCAATTTAAGAACGTGCCGTTATTATAACTTTTTCCCTCCTTTGAGGGACCATATTGTTTCCGCGGGCAACAATCCGAATTCTACAAAAGGTGTGAAGTGTATGGCCCATTGCGTGCAATCGGTTGAAAAGAGTAAAGAACTGTAACCTAACAATTATTCTTAGAATGATTGCTGTAAATTATTCTCACCATATTTGCAATTTAACCGTTTACATTCCGATGTAATGACACTTATAGTCTCTTGTTACCGACATTTATATTTACGTCGAAGCTCGGTACACTCTACGTTGGGAATTATATAAAATGAAGCATTCCATATGTCATTTCGGTAAAATAATTATAGAGATCGAAGTAAAACTGTCGAAAATCCGTGGATTCAAGATCTTTGATATTCTAACGGACCAACGTCGCCATCTGTGACGTTTAGCCGGAACTAAATTCTTACTCTGAAAACAGGAATTAGCCACGGAACAAACCATTCTCTTGCAATCGTTGGTGAAAGTATTTTCCATATTTTCCCATCTCACTCGGTAATATTCCATTTCTACGGTATTCTAAATTGTTCAAGCTAGGTCCTAAAGCTCTTCATTTTCGATTTTAATCCCGCAAGAGACGTGAAACATCGAAAACGTGTAAACATCGAAAACGGCTGACTCTTTCATATCACCTTAAGACCACGACATTCGAGGGTGAATTCAAATGAAGCAAATCATTTGATAGCATCAAACAAATAGGGTGAATCGAGAAATATGTCGGAATGAAATATATCTGTTCTACTGCGTAACAAAGAACAAAATACATTTCACTCAAACGTATTTGTTTTCTGTCAAACAAGTCGTTTTTTCAGGGTATACCGTTCAGTATTCTTATTAAGATTTTCGATAGATTCCTAATACATACCGATCTACGTTAAGAAGTTACTAAACGAGCACAGTAATGACTGAAACCGTTTATAAGGAAATATTGTTAAAAAATGGCACGTTTCCCCGGGTTACCATACGATATGGAAAGGATTTCCCGAAAGTCAGAAAATTCTAATCATACATTCTTCTCCGTGCAAACGGGAATGTTAATTAAAAAGAGTATAATTTAGGGGAAACTAACAGTAACCAAATAAATTAGCGTTTAAGTATCGTGCTCCGGCAAAACAAGCAAACGGTGAAACGATCGAATGGTTAAACGATAGTTTCGTGTTGGTTCCATACAACAATGTTGTTAACGTTGCAGGATCAGTGTTTTAGCACACTATTTGACCCGTGACAGCACTCATCGACATCGCAGGGTCTTTACTACATGGACTCTTATTTGAATCTTACCCTTGAATTCGTGTGTGAGAAGAAAAAGTACGGCGTATGGTAAGTATTGCCGTCAGATGGCGACGTCTTATACGGCTTAACCGCGAACGACATATACTTGAAGAAACCTTTTTAAATGACGTAGAGTAGAAGAAACATAAGAACAAAGATTCAGGCGGTTATAAATCTACAAACAAGCGATCCGTATCATTTGCAAGAAAGCTTCGCAATCAATCGGCGCTGTCGAAACTAATTTGAGCAAAGTTTTGTCGCAACGTCCAGTAAAAGTTGATTTAACCAGGCCGCAATGTTAAACGGTTGTATTAGTAATATTGTGGCAGTTACTAAAATTAAATTATAATAACATATTGCCATGAGCGTTGACAATATTTAAAGGGTAAGCTAATTATTCCAAAGTGGTAAAAAACTTGACTGAAAGTACTGTTGTCGTAGAAGATTCGTAGAAAAAGCAGGAGGATGCTCAACTATTAAAAAGTAGTTGCAGCTGCTAATTTATGGTCAAACGATAAATTGTGTTCCTCTAACGAATGTGGCTTCGACAGGGGCTAATTGTCCGGTTTATCAGTTTTTTCTTTCTCTCAGGGTGACTAAATCCACAAGACACACGATGTTTCATTCACTCGAACGTAGCGGTAACATTGAAATGAAGTCGACTAATGATGAAAGGGCGCGGGCAGATCTTTGACTCCAAAAGTATGGACTGCTAGCTGCCAACTTCACAGAGGTTGCCAAGATTTCAGCGCCCATCGTATACCAAGAATTAACAATTCAGTGTATCCGATAGTTGTCAGTTTAGGGGGTTACATATTTCCAGCGGTCAGAAATATTCATGGTTTTGAGGAATTCTTTCAATACCTGAACTACCGGCGGATCTTTATTGTCTTCGGTGGGTCTTCTGAATCCAGTCAACTTGACGAGTTTGGTAGCCCTAGAGTTAAAGGTGTTAATGATTAAAAGGCAATTGCTGTGTTTAATGGGTTTATTAAAAATATCTTTCTCAATGATTCTTTTTCCGGCCTTAAACTTGTAGATGACGTTTAGAACCCTGCATAAGAATACGCCGTCTCGTGGTTTACACGATTTCTTTTCTTAAAAACGGTTGGATTTGGAAAATTCAAGGAGAATCTTCTAATGTCACGTAATCGTTATAGTTTATGCGGGCAAACTTTTAAATTTCGAAGAAAGTAAACGATTTATCACGATTTGAGATGAGAATTTCTTTTTTAATCGCAAACTGTGCTCTTTAATCGCCATTTTGGTTCTGGTCTAGGCAGAGTGAAAACTTTTTCTTTGAAAATCCCAATTTCGAATGTGTCGAGATAATTTTTATCTGCTCACGAGTCTTGTAGCAAATGTTAGGACGGTTCGGAACAATACCCTTAAAAAAAGTGTCTTATTCGAATCGACTGATTCGAGGGGGTTCCACTTCACCTTAAAGAGATATCCTAGTGGCATCCGAGGGGTAGATCGTTCGCTAAACTTTTCTCTGAACCGGGTATACCAAATCGTTTAAAAAATGACAACGTGAATGTGGAGGCTCCAAAGAAGGTTTCGATATCCATGAAACTTCCTTTTTTATTAAAAGAAACCATGGAAATATCTACAAAGAAATTGAAAAAAGAATTGAAATTTCATGGGGGTCAGGACCTACCTTAAAGCCTTCACGTTCGCCTTATGAAGTCTGAAAAAATTCGGTACACCTAGTTCGGAGATAGATCTCATAAACGAGACCTCTCTGGTGCCACTTTCGCATCCCCTTAACTCATCCTTGTAGATCCTTGGTTGCAACGAATAGGGATATAATTGGGAAGAAAAGTGCAATTTCGAGGAAGATGCGTTAAAGAAGTGCGGAAGTGCGTTGGGTGGACGACGGGGGTGTGGGGTGAATTGTGCCATCGGAATCGGGTAGCCAATCAGATGAGGCGACGATCATCTAGGGAGAAAGGGACGGAGAAGTGCCGCGAGCATCAGGACTGTCGCGAGCATCGGTGCTTTTGACAGCCCGAAGTTCGGAAGGATAGACTGACGGCCGAGTGGCACAGCGGCCGCAGTCCTTGCGGATACTCGATGGTTAGTCTTCACCTTAAGTTTGCTTATACGAGTTCCGAGAGAGAATGAATGACGTTTAAGGTGAAGTGAAACACCTCGAGGAACTTGATCGACGTCGGTAAAGAAGATTTTTCTAAATGCCTACGTTGACGACGTTCGTTTTTATATCGACAGCTGTGTCGAATTAAATTGGATATTGTACCAAATGGCATACTCCACCTGTCGTTTTCGTATAATAAATATCAAGAAATCCAAGTAAAACTCCAGAAATCCCCTGGATTCGTGCTTTCTGGGGCCCTAATTGACTGCAGAGGGACCCCCTGCGCCATCTGTGATTTCCAGGTCAATTAAATTTTCACTCCGAGATCTCGTATTCCCATCGTTTTGGCATAGAAACGCATACAACACTTTTTTTGCCTTTATCACGTTCAAATGCGAGTTTATCGATTACCAGAGTGTTCTAAATTGTTGTAAAATTGTCCTGACCCTTTCGTCTCTCATATCAGAGCCTTCGATATTTGTATATTGATCGAAATATGAGAGCTCGACGCCATTTTGGTTCCGGTCTGGGCTGAGTTAAAACATTTTTTCCAAAAATCCAAATTTTGAATCTGTCAGGACAATTCTTAGATGATCAGGAGTGACGTGTCAAAGTTTCGGACAGTTTGGTGTAATACCATTAAAAAACAGTGTTGTATTCGAATCGACTGACTTGAAGGGGGTTTCACTTCACCTTAAGGTGATATGAAAGGGTCAGTCCACAACAAACAGGCCAAATCGTGAAAGTATTCACCGAATTGGGTTTATCGATTCGTTTCTAATTTTACCACGTGAATATGCGCTGAGAGTTAAATGAACTATTTTCTACCTAGATATCATAGTTCAAAAAGGACTACTTTTTATCGTAAAGGTAACTCTTTTTTTCTGAACTAAGAGATCCAGAAAGGGTTTCTGTATTCTTTTACCTTTTGGGGGGAGTAAAATCAACTATTCTACGTTTACTATACTTTCCTAGCAAGAATAAGACAACTTTTTACAATTTATACCGTAATATTTCACATTATTATTGTTAATGTAGCTGATATATCATCGTATATTTTACATGCCCATATGGTATTGTTAACTGTCGTGAATAGTCCCGTTAATAATTAAATCTTTTTCAAACATAATTCGTTGTAATTATTGACGTTTATTAAACTTGTTATATTTGACCTGTTTATATTCTTGCATGTCTTAGAGTCAGGTAGGGATGTAGTAGGATCTTATATGTAAACGAGCAATCCGCTATATTTGCGAGAAAGCTTCGCCATCTATCGGTGTCGTCGAATTTAATTTGAACAAAAACAAGAAATTTGTAACCTTAATGAATCCATTAAACATACCTAATGTCTTCTAATGGTTCTTTTAATCACTAACACCTTAATAAAAGATTCCTCAAAAGTATTGATTTTTCCGACGACTGGAGATACGTAATCCCCTCTAAAGGAAATATAAATTGCCACTATTTCATGAATTTTTAAAGCGATAAAACCTAATCTACCTTTTAATGGAAGATTCGGTTAATGTATGTACCCAGTTCAATAGTGAAAAATCTGTTTCCCTCAATTACAGAATTAAAAATGTAGAAATTGTTACAATTGACCCCGGTCATCCCTACTACAAACTAAGTTAACAATCACCTGTGTTTATAATGACACAGAAATCTAGGCGAAATTCATGCCAGAAGATAATGCCATTGACGTACAAACGTATCCGATAGGTTTCCATGGTGCCAACAATGAAAAAGATCCATGGCGAACATGAAATGTACGGATATGGCGTACGATCGACAAGCATTCATGTCCGCCATTGTTCAAAGTCAGGGATTCAGATGAAACCTGCAAAGCTAGATAAATAAAATGCACTTTTGATTTCAGGATGAATTTCATCCATTCATTGAGGCTCTTCTACCATTCGTGAAGTCTTTCTCGTACACGTGGTTCAACCTACAAGCTGCAAAAAGGCGTTACTACAAGAAACACGAGAAACGGATGAGTCTCGAGGAGGAACGTCAATGCAAGGAGGAACTCCAGGTCAGTTCTTTAATACGTCCATATACTTGAAATACTCTTCTTTTCTTTACTTCTACCGAGGGCGATTAGGCAAATGTCCCCTTATAATTTTTATTCCTTTTAAGGTGATCTGAAAGTCCCGTCAAAGAGTTCTCGTTCATGGAACTTTTCTCCAGTGGATGCATCGAATCGTTGGAAACTTCAGTATGTGATTATGGAGGCCCTAAGAAAGAACGTGGTGCTCATGAAATTTCATTTTCAATACATTTTCTTATTTATCCCAGACTAGAACCAAGAATACATCTTTTTTTTTTTAATGAAATTTTATGAGCACCACTTCCTTAAGGCCTCCATAATCACCTGCTGATGTTTCCATCGATTCTGTGCATCCAGTTTGGAGGAGAGTTTTATAAATACTTTTACGTTTTACAGATATAGAATGATCCTTTCATATCACCTTAAAATATGTTATAGAGTAACAAAAAGTAAGTCATACATGTTCTTCATAGCTGTCCAAATATACATTTAGGGGGAAAAAACAGCCCTTCAAAGTTTTCAAATGTACGCTTAAGGTGAAGCGAAACATGTCGAGAAATTTGGTCGATGCCGGTAAAAAAGAGTCTTCTAAATATCTACTTGTTGCCGATGTTTGTATTAATATTGACAGCTGTGCCGAATTATGTTGGGTATTGTGCTAAATGACATACTCCATATGTCGTTTCCTTACAATATTTATAAAGAGACCGAAGTAAAACTCCATAAACCCCCTGAATTCATGGTTTTTGATGCCCTGATTGACTGCAGAGGGCTACCCTGCGCCATCTATGATTTCAGTGGCAACTAAAGTTCATCTCCGAGACCTCGCGTTACTATCGCCTTAGCGTCGAAGCGTATAAAATGAATAAATCTTAAATTTTTAATTACGCAAAGTGCGTATGCATTATATTTGGGATACTCCGTATGGGTATGTCTGGTTCAATCGACTCGTTTCGACCCCAGGAGTACAGGGTAGCAGTTCTGTTTCTGCAGAATATTGCGACACTCCGTAGTGGTGAAGTAATTACCACAGCACACTATCGTAGCGTTAGCACCGCCGCTGAAGATGTTCCTTAAATAACTCCTTGAATCGTACCATAGGACGAAAATTAGTTGACCGTCGCTGTTAGGCTAAAAATGCAGTCTGCTCTTTATTTCCTGCGCTTGAAAATAGCCCCGAGCGACGCAAGATCTCTAGGGAGCAGAGCCGGCAGCTACGAGCATAAGACGGGAGTTGAAGGAAGATGCCGAGGGCTACGTAGGAATACAAGGAAGGAAGAAAAGAGGATTTTAAACGAACAAGCGAGGAAGATGAAAACGGGAGGAGGTTCTGCTGGAGAATTAGAAGCACGTGTTGATCAAACAAACGTTTTATGGTGGGGTGAAAGGTGGTTTTTACCGATGACGATTAGATTTCACGAATCCACCCTGAAAGGAAAAGACCTGGCAAACCGAACAATTAGACCCTGTTGAGGTGATGTGAAAGTGGCATTGAAAAGGTTATGTTTATAAAACTTTTCTCCCAACTCGGCTTACCGAATAGTTTGAAACGTTACAATGTGAATAGGAAGACTATAAAGAAGGTCTTGAAACTCATGAAATTTCAATTCTTTTCAAATTTGTTTATAGGTATTTTAAAAATAGTTTTTAAAAAATGAACTTTCGCGAGTTTCAGGACCTACCTTAAGGTCTCTATATTCACGTTTCAAAGTATGAAACGATTTGAGACACCCAGTTCTACGAAAAGTTTTATGAACGATTGAGCTTTCGGATGCCACTTTCACATCCCCTTAAAGCCAGTTTTCTTAAAAGACCGCAATTAATCGTTTGATTTACTACAAATTGTTAGCTGCAACTACCTTTTAATACTTAACCATCCCTCCTGGCTTTGGTACGAGTTTTTGTCGGAACGGTCACATAATTAAGTTTCTATTTTTACCATTTTGTAACAAGATTACCTGTTAAATATTCTCAACGCTCGTTGCAAGATGTTATACTCTACTTTTAGTAGCTCCAACAATATTACCAATACCACCGTTTAACGTTGCGGTTTGGTTAAATCAACTTTCAACGTTGCCACGCGAGTATTGAAAATGGCATTACCACCAAAATGAGATAGAGGAATTTTTCTGATGAGTCTATCCACATCGATTGACCCTTTTAGTGCCGACCGAAGTCGTTAGCACTTGTAAAACGAGGCACTGAAAGGGTTAAATTTCTCATCGGTTTAATAACATCGGGTCAACTTTTTTGTTTGTTTTTTTGTTTTTTTTCTCTCGGGGTCCTCCTCGAAAGGAGCTGGCCGTATAATGCGAGGAAGCATAGGAGCGATCGGGTGCGCGAGTATTCCCGACGGTGTCGCGAGAGAGCTATACGAAATCCAAAATAAATCGGCGCAGCTGTTGTGTCCACGTTTTGCGTTCGCGTTTAGTATCCAGCGTCAGCGCCCGGGCGGCGGAACACCGCGGTAGCTATTAGAGCGCTGCGCGACTCGCGCTCGTCACGTCTTTTCAGCGGATATTTCGGAAATAGCGACGACCGATGCGTCCGAGCCGCAGCCGGCGCTACTCGGCGCGATCGACCCGCTCGATCGGCAGCTACGGATTCGCGGGGGGGAACTAGGACGTTCGAAGATCCGACCAATGGCGGCGCGACCCTCCCGGCCCCCACCGGGAGGAAGGAGGCGGCGTCGACGGTGGAACGAGAGAGGACCAGGGAAAACGGAAATAGACTGTACCGGCTAGGTCTTCCGCGTTCCGATAATCGTACCGAGGACTCTTGTTCCGCACGCTCTTCGATTTTCTCCTCGAATATCCGCGGACTTTGTCTCTCGGGTTGCTGGACCGATCTTGGCACCTGCTCTCCAGGCAGCGGAGTTGTATATAATTACGTTAAGGGGGTGGAAAAGTGGCGGCGAAGAGTTCTTAAAATCTTTCTCCAAACTGGGGCTACCGAGTCGATTCAAGCCTTACGAGATGGATGCAGAGGGTAGAAGGAAGATCCCGAAACTCATGAAACTTGAATTTCTTTAACCCTTTGAGCGCTAAGCCCTTTTGGGCGAATTTCGTCAGAGCGTGCGAGCAATATTGGACCAAACGTCGGACGCACTTACGGGTTCATAGCGCGCAAAGGGTTAAGATGCGTTCGGAGATATTTTCAAGATTTATTTATCTTTTTAGATTCTGCAGTCAATTGGGGCACGAGAAACCATGAATTCAGGGGATTACTGGATTTGTACCTGGATTTCTTTATAATTATATTTACTCACGAAACTCATGAAACTTCAATTTCTTTAACCCTTTGAGTGCTAAGCCCTTTTGGCGTTTGGGCGAATTTCGTCAGAGCGTGCGAGCAATATTGGACCAAACGTCGGACGCACTTACGGGTTCATAGCGCGCAAAGGGTTAAGATGCGTTCGGAGATATTTTTAAGCTTTATTTATCTTTTTAAATTCTGCAGTCAATTGGGGCATGAGAAACCATGAATCCAGGGGATTACTCGAGTTATACATGGATTTCTTTATAATTATATTTATAACTATATTTGGAGTATGCCATTTAGTGTAATACCTGATACAATTCGACACAGCTGTCGATAGATATACGAACGTCGGTACCGTAGGTATTTACCAGAATCTTTTTTACCGACGTCGATGAAGTTTCTCGACGTGTCTCCCTTCACCCTATGATAAGGAATTGGGTATGGAGGGAAGCATAGGTTTGAGATAAACGACAGTTGGAGTTGTACGAGGGATTTCGCTATCTCTAATCGTTAACTTAATGGTTTCAAGTTAAACGAAGTTCGTCCGGTACGGGAGTGCACGGATTGATTAGGAAGTCTTTTTCAGAAGTGAAAGTAAAGCTCATCACGGTTTCCCTATTATCTTACCCATTGTTTCCCTTAAAATTCGTCTTTCCACGTTAGCCCTAAAAAATAGGGATAAAGTTTAGAAGCGCGTACCTGCGATTAATTAGATACTTCATACATTCGTGTACTTTCCCCCGCTGATCACGAATGTGACAAGAAAAATTGGCGCAAATGTCAACTTCAAGGTGAAATTGATTGTTGACTTTTGAAAATGTCTACATTACTTCGATTGGTATAAGTTTAAGAGAGTGTTTTCTGATACCAAATGGGGGGTCCGATAATAATCCTTAAGTAAAAAACGTATTCTTATTATACACTGATAAATTATTAAAACAAAATATTTCATTGAGACTTTCAACAAATATTTGAGACATTTAGCAAAGATTGTCAGGAATTATTTATAAATTATTTTGCGCTCCTAGGCTGTAGGCTGACTCTTTCATATCACCTTAAAGTAAAGTGAAACACGTCGAGGAACTTGATCGACGTCGATAAAGATGATTTTTCTAAATGCCTATGTTGCCGACGTTCGTTTTTATATTGACAGCTGTGTCGAATTATATTGGATATTGTACCAAATGGCATACTCCACCTGTCGTTTTCGTACAATAAATATCAAGAAATCGAAGTAAAACTCCAGAAATCCTCTGGATTCGTGCTTTCTGGGGCCCTAATTGACTGCAGAGGGACCCCCTGCGCCATCTGTGATTTCCAGGTCAATTAAATTTTCACTCCGAGACCTCGTATTCCCATCGTTTTAGCATAGAAGCGCATACAACACTTTTTTTGCCTTTATCCCGTTCAAATGCGAGTTTATCGATTACCAGAGTGTTCTTAATAGTCATAAAATGATCCTGACCCATTGGTTTCTCATATCAGAGCCTTCGATAATTGCATATCGATCGAAATATGAGAGCTTGACGCCATTTTGGTACTGGTCTGGGCCGAGTTAAAAAATTTTTTCCAAAAATCCAAATTTCGAATGTGTCAGGACAATTCTTAGATGATCAGGAGTGACGTGTCAAAGTTTCGGACAGTTCAGTCTAATACCCTTAAAAGAAAAGTGTTGTATTCGAATCGACTGATTTGAAGGGGGTTTCACTTCACCTTAAGAACTCAGAACGAACAGTTCCGATGTTTTTCGAACGAGTACACATTATTCGCGTTTCTTGGGTTTATTACCGTGACGCGAAGAAATAAATCGATGCGCGAAGTAGAGAGCCGCTCCTCTGCAATTGACATTCAGGGTGCTCGATCGGACTTATACCGCACGGTGCACAGTAAGTATTCCAAGATGCGTCCACCCGTAACGTGGCGGACCGACGCTGGGTGACACCAGCGTGCACGCACTCATTCGAATGCATACGAGGGGAGTGCATTCCCTCTAGACGGAATAGATCGGAGAGTTGCAGCGGACCCGGTCCGATGCATTCCACGCACTTTCAGTGCATTTCCCAGGCAGCTTATGCACCGCGTTTGCTATTCTACAGGTACGAGGGCCATTCGCGTGCGTTGCATATGTTTTCAACGCTGGTTGAGGTCGTTGCTGCTCTCCCCGTTCTGACCCGTCGTGCTCTGGGACACGCGAAACTCCCGGATTTCGAATTTCGCTTACGAGATTCCTCGCACCTCGGAAATACAACCTGAACTCATCGTGTTATCTACGTCGCCGATGATCACGACCAATGATCGAAAACCTTGTCGCGTTAAGGCGAAGTGAAACCCTCCTCAAATCGGTCGATTCGAATACAACACTTTTTTTTTCAAGGGTATTGGACCAAACTGTCCGCAACTTATATCATCTAAGAATTGTCCCGACACATTCAAAATTTGGATCTTTCAAAAGAAATTTTTTAATTTAGCCCAGACAAGAACCAAAATGGCGTTGAGCTCTCATATTTCGATCAATGTACAATTATTGAAGGCTCTGATATGAGAATCAAAAGTGTCAGGACAATTTTACGGCAATTTAGAACACTCTGGTAATCGATAAACTCGCATTTGAGCGGGACAAAGGCAAGAAAAGTGTCTTATGCGCTTCTATGCTAAAACGATGGGAATACGAGGTCTCGGAGTGAACATTTAATTGACCTGGAAGTCACAGATGGCGCAGGGGGTCCCTCTGCAGTAAATTAGGGCCCCAGAAAGCATGAATCCAGGGGATTTCTGGAGTTTTACTTCGATTTCTTGATATTTATTATACGAAAACGACAGGTGGAGTATGGCATTTGGTACAATATCCAATTTAATTCGACACAGCTGTCGATATAAAAACGAACGTCGACAACGTAGGCATTTAGAAAAATCTTTATCGACGTCGATCAAGTTCCTCGAGGTGTTTTACTTCACCTTAAATCTTGCAAAACGGATAACTGACGAGACGTATCATGTGCTATAGTTTCAGCCAGGTGGGAATAATAACCACCAGAGAAAGTATCGTGTTCGAATCGATTTATTTGAGGCGGATTTTATTTCATCTTAGAACGTGTTTGCTTCGCATTTGCAGGTTGAATTTCGGATAAAAAAGATCATTCTCTTGCGAGAATGTAACCGCCCTGTAAATTTTTATAAATTACGTTGAGTTCGTAAACGTTGATTGCATTAATAGTAATAGTACTACCCTTACAATCCTAATGAGTTTTTATTCCTGTTATCATTCGCAGAACGAAAAGCTGGAAGTCAAGCAGAAATGGGCTTCGCGGCTTCTGGGGAAACTACGAAAAGATATCACGCAAGAATACCGAGAGGACTTCGTTCTGAGTATAACTGGGAAAAGGCCGGCCATGTGTGTCCTCAGTAATCCTGATCAGAAGGGCAAAATGCGTCGCATTGATTGCCTACGTCAGGCAGACAAGGTGTGTTCTTTTTACATTTGCAATTTCTCACTGAATCTCTACAAAAGTTACATCGTCACCCGCCAAACACGATTACGTAACAATAATGTAACATGTTACGTAACATACATATAATAAATAAGATTTGAATTACTATTTTCTCCGCAGCTATATAACACTGGGATAAAACGAATAATGTAACGTACACGTAACATATCGGTAACATGTTATAAACTATGTTAATATTATGGAACTGCCGTTCTAACAAGTTTGTAACAATGTTACCGAGCGGTAATAATTCGACGTTATACGATATTAATGTATCTTTTGAATAACATCCGTTATATATCATGTTATTCCAGAATTATGTAACTGTAACATAGGGTACTTGGGGGGTAATATCATATCGTGGTGAATATACATTCTTCGAAACAAGCAGCATATAAACATTGTTTACATAGCTATTATTTTAAGGGTGCGCACGTTACAGCAATTAGCAGGACCTCGCTAGGACAATGACTGGGGACACATTACTGAACTGATTAGATCGATGAAATGCTCGATTCAAAGATAAAGAATAGATGCGTGCTTGTATGGGAGCGATTTCCAATAAGTAATCATTTTTTATTAACGTGTGGAGGCTTTCGGAAATGACCGGTGTTCATTGTCGGCCAGTGGGCCGATGTTCCTTAACTCATCAGGCCTAAATACTAAAACAAGTACAAATAGACACCAGAGGAAGGCCTAGTTTTCATTAGTATTGCGCAGAAACGACCGTCTCCTTTTCTCGAAACTATTCCGTCCGTTCTTTGTCCGCGTAACGCTCTTCTTTGGATCAGTCTTGGACGATCTTTTTCCTTTCTTCCTTTATTGGTCGGTGGCCAATGTAACCACTCTCACCAGGAATTATCTGGTAAACTCCTTATTATCCCGCAATAAAACATCTCCAATAATGGCCCAATGACCCCGGGATATTTTGTTGGTGCCGACTAATCATACGTAAGGAGCTGATATACAAATACTGTGGTGAGATAGTCGTCAGGTGAGCGGCAGTCATTCTGCTGATTTCCCAGAGGAATTCTACACGTTCGATCACGAAATCGACAGAATAGATTAACCCTGAGGTCGTTTGCACCCGCACCAGTAAAACCGGAGCCGGCGTCGGCGCCGGCACCGGCGCCAGTTTTGCCGGTGCCGGCGCAAGTTTTGCCGGTGCCGGTGCCAGTTTTGCCGGTGCAGGTGCAAACAGTTCAGCGCTGTGGTTTTCAGCCTGGCCGATCTGTTAACCTTTCTGTATACGTTCGTGTATCGTACAGATCCTATTTCTAATTCTTTGCAGGGGGTGACAGATTTCAAGAGTCTACAAGTAATAAAAAAGTCCTAATTTTTCTAACGAGTTTCCCTAGTAACGCAAAGACATTTCTAGCCCGTCATACCATGTTCAACATTGTTCATAACGAACTTTGCGAACATGTAGCATTTATCGATTGTCCTTAAATTATGACCTAATTAGCATTAAGCTCTCAATACTGACACTTAGTAAACATCTTGATTACAAGTCCTAACAGAGGATCGTATGTTAATTTTAAGTGCATTTCTTATTTGCTCCGATTACAGCTAGGTAACGCTTTATCCAATTTGAAGTCAAACGTTAATGACTCCAAGTTACCTCAATGTAATGGAATTTATTCACTTAAGACCATATTTTCATTTCGGCAGCTTTGAACGGGTGAAATTTCGAAGTGTCCAATATGTGAAACTGATCGATGTGTCAAGAATATAATTAGGTGAAAGTAGTGATAAGAAGCTCACCGGAACAAGTGTGAGGTTCGTGATCAATATTATATATCTGAACTTGAACTTTCAGGTTTTATGTATCGTTCACGAGGGCTACATTGCCAAGTATGATTCTACCCCTCGTTTCTTCACGCATATGGTACCATTCCTTATCATTGCTCTGCTTACAATAATTTGTCGAAAAAAAAAAAGAAATTACTGATATACTAAGGCATGCCTTGTAGAATGTGGATTTGAAGTATAAAATTACACCCGAAATGTGAATATGCATATTTGCTTTATGTGTGGATCTATGTATTTGCGCATGACCGTGTGTTTGTCCGAGTAGCAATTAGGCAGTTTTAATATTTATATATGTATACATTTGCTTTCCTGTTTCAGTCGATAACAGAATTTGGCAAGAACACCCTTTCTCCCAGAGCTCCCCTTGGGCTCCTTGTCGGGTTCCTGATCGATTATATTTAAAATAATGGACAAGTATGATTAAAATACAATCCATTAATTGTTACATCTGTTTCGCTACTTCTAGATTATATTAAGAAGGAAAGACGTGTCATACGAGCGGGCGCGCGGGGGTATTATTGCAGAATTTCAACTATACGGATAATGTAAGTAAAACATAGCATTTGCTGTGAAACAGACGTGGAACCTTTAAAACATCAATTACGACGTCATAGTATGTGTATTACAGGAAATATTGCTATTTTGAGGAATGCGCTACGAAGCTGAGATCTATGACAGGATTGTCAATGCTTCGAAGTATCGTATGCATTTTGTAGTAAATCCTGCGTAATTACTGCATTTTATTTCTATGATTTACGCTATTTAAAATCATTCTCAATTATATACACATTTTCCTTTGAAGATATTACGCAGAAGTAGAAAAACAGGTCCTCTAATTAATTGTAAATAATGGATTGCATTTTAATTGTCCTTGTCTATAATTTCAGATACGGTGAAATAGAAGCCGAAGAGTTCATTAACTCGGGGAGCCAGATGAGGAAGTGGGTCCAAACATAATTTTGTTTCAGTATAAATGGTAAATATTCAATTGAAACATTTATTTGTAACCTTTCAAATTAATGCACTGCATGTTCTGCTTTAATACAGAAACAATATTACCTCAAGAAACTAGTGGATATACCGTAAAGTAATAAATAATGGTACGATATGCGTGAAGGAACAAGAAGCGGAATCAAGATATTTTGAGATAAGCCTCGGTGGACAGTATCCAAATACCTTATAAGCGAGATAAGAATATTTTTACCGATATGAGCTTCATATTTCCTACGGTCTCTATGAGAGCCTTACCCCATTTGAATAAATATGTCGAATGCCATACTCTTTCTTCCTGTTGCGAGTTTTGTTATGCTAGATTTCGGTGTCCGATGCTACTTAAGGCGATGGCGGGGGTGGCGGTTCCTTCGCGGGTCTTCCGGAGGACGCCGACCATCTCCCGGTCCCGCTCCGCGGCCTTCTTCCGTAGCATGACTTACTCGCAGAAGGAGGCCATGGTCTCCTATGACCCCTCGTCGCGGGCCACCATGTCGACGACGACCAGCAACGAGAGGTCCGCACCAATTCGCTGGACCAGGAGGGACCTAACCTTGTAACCGACGCGATGAATACTACCAGAATATGCTAGATTTCGGTGTCCGATGCTGCTAAAGGCGATGGCGGGGGTGGCGGTTCCTCCGCGGGTCTTCCGGAGGACGCCGACCATCTCCCGGTCCCGCTCCGCGGCCTTCTTCCGTAGCATGACTTACTCGCAGAACGAGGCCATGGTCTCCTATGACCCCTCGTCGCGGGCCATCATGCCGACGACGACCAGCAACGAGAGGTCCGCACCAATTCGCTGGACCAGGAGGGACCTAACCTTGTAACCGACGCCTTTTGGGACCTCGGCTTCTGGCGGCCCATGGCACCTGTTGCCGACGTGATGAATACTACCCGAATATTATTGCTGGGTTGCTTGGAAAACCCGAGGATTCGCTTAACCGAGGGATTAGCCAAAATTCCCAAGAGGGAGATATGGCCATGCCTGGTGATGATTAACCTAGGGAAACGTCGCTATCGTGATCTCGGGCAGGGCGGAACAGTCGTGGCTGTTGGTTTTGTGCAATGCTGGTGGAAGCGGTACGAGAGGAAGGACTCGCCATTGGCATTTCAAGAGATGCGGACTCACGAACACCGAGGAAGTGGTCGTCTCGTTATTTAAATGATTTTGTATATCATGTACGATATGCTATCGGGCGTGTCTGAAAATAAAACGATGAGCAACGGAGTACCTTTTGTAATTTTCATTTTATCCCAATTGAAACATCCATCGCTCTTGCCGGGGACTCTTACATGCATCGGACCATTCTCTATGTTGGAATTCTCCCTGATTACGGACACTCGCCCTAAGTGGCATTGGCAACACGTCCTTGAATAAATTCATTAGAATTTATAGGGGAACTAGTAGATAACTGCAGATGACGATGTCGATCAATGTTTAAGGTATGGAGATTGGATCTCGTAATGGTGATCCTCTTCAAGGCTATTCCTTTGGAGTCGACGGATGGGGAACGGCTGGAAAAGACGGCGGAATGTGCCCAGCCTGGCCTGTGTGTCAATCCCTATCACATCAACGTCTCCGTCCGGGAACTTGATCTCTACCTCGCCAACTTCATCACTAGTCACGGTATGATATCACACTTTCATGAACAATAGACCTAGACTAAGAGGGTGTTACGATTTCCTTAATGCACATTTCCTTCAAATTCGAGCGATCGAACTCGTCGATCCCGAATTCTATCGAACTGTCTTTTGGAGAAATTAACGAACGTAATATGCACGTACGCAAGTTGCTTCAAGAATTTAAGTACATACGAACGCACACGTGTAATAGGGAAACGATTTTAATCAATGTAATTCCTCATACGTGAAATGTGAAAAAGAAATTGAAATTGTCGAACCGAATCATTCAACGTACTTTAAAAAATAGATTATATAGAAAAAAATAGGATGGCGTGCCGGTTTCCTACGTGTCGTTTGGGGTACTAAATCAAGTTTTAGAAATAATCCTAATTGCAAATCCAGGTCTTACTCTTCGGATCCTAAGATTAGACGCGGTTATGCGACAGGTTCTGTAGGATTCTGACCTCATGATCGTTAGTAACCATACCGAAAGCATAAATGTGCCCATAATTATGAAAGTGGTCTAAGTCATATATTTTTTGTTTCGAAATTACATTGAATTAATTTCGTTTGAAATAATATGGCGTGAAATAACTGATAAACTCATTTTTTTTTAAATTTTGACTTAGACCACTTTCATAATTATGGTCACAATTGTTCCTAATATTTCGAAAGTGAGACTGACCATGGAATGTATCCAATGCGATGGGATGTCAGCTGACGTGTCCAATAAGTGCATTAAGAGCTTGGTGTTCAGCCGGGTCTGTGGCGAAGAGAATCTCTGCCCTAATTCTTCCCCCTGAACTGGGCGATTGAACTGGAGGTGATAAAAAACGCGACAAAGTCAAAAAGAGGGACTCTCGCGAGATATGCGATACTTTTGGGTGGCAGGCACTCCGAAGTGCAAATTAATATATCCCACCACGAGGATGCTCAAGACCAGTCGAAAGGAAAAATAGTTCACCGGATGTCCCAGCGGTAGCCTTGCAATTTCTTTTGTGATCATCATGCGAAGATGCGTTCTGCCCCACGCCAAGGATGGAAGAATCTATAGATCAAGCGCGAAAGGGTGGTCCCTGCCCAATGCAAGGAATTGGTACTTTCCCTAGCGTCAAACGTGATTTTCCTATCTAACTTGGATATCAATATAATGAATGAATCCCCGTCGCACACAGATTAGATGAACACTGGATGAACATTAGTTCAACCTAGCGAGTGGCAAGAAGTTCCTATTGAGCTTCCTATACTTCCTAACATCTGCCGGGCATCACGAGACAACTGATAACCACGATGGATAGCGATATAATAGCAAAACTGGTGGTGACGACTCACCGAGCAGTTATGAGACCATACGAAACGAGAAATGGCAAGACATTCGAAATGAAAATGGCACTGCTGCGCTGGTACGAAGTAACAACGGGAACGGCAACGGTAGCTACCGGGAAGCTCCGGCCTCAAACCCTATTGTGATTGCAGAAATTTTGCCACATCACAGCACATCAGCTGTGGCATCCTTTCATGTTAGACACACAGTTAACGAGGAGTTTTGCCTTCGAAATCGTAGAGATACATATATACATTTATGTCACGAGTTTCATATCGGCTTCTTAAACATGAATAACCCAAGTTGAAGTATAAATATCCTCAGGATCTCGAAAACGAGATCTGCCACGAACTGCGTTCGATGAAAAGGGATGGCACAGCTGATGTGTCCAATAACGGTGTAAAAAATATCTTAAGTCCAGACGGGTCTTTGGGGTACCCCTTCAAGATGTCGGGGTCTCGTGGCAGGATCCACGACTCGAATCGGTTGGTCAGGGAACGCGGCTCTCATTGGTCCGTGTCCAGCAGCACCGCCCCGACCACCGCTTTCGATTCCGGGCCCCAAGAAGCAAGTGGCGACTCCAGGCCCATGAGCTGGGTGGGCTTCCTTCCTTTGAGTCGGCAGATCTCATTGGCCGCATTCGATCAGCGACAACGACTGGTGCCCTGCCTCGACTTCTCCTACCGGAGCCTCGATTCAGGGCCCTTGGGTGTTGCCCAGATCGCCCGGGCGAATCATGGGAGCACCCAACCTTGCCCTGTCGGAGAGGTTGAACATCCTTCCTGGACCTTTTGAACAAGATTAGGGATCTCCGAAGGGTCTTTTCTGCATCGTTCGGACAACTTTCCGACTTTCGTGTGGCCCAGACACGCGGCCCATCCAAGGGCTTTGATCATTCGGGTCCTCCCTTAAAATCGGGATAATTTTCTCTCCTTCTTATCTGCTCTTGGGAGTCAACGAGTTGTATTATGCACCTTTCTTTTAATACAGACGAGGGGCTCGTGACTACCCTACAGTTCAGAGGGAATGTGGGGTCATTGCTGGTCCACCGCATGATAGAGGGTGCATTTCACTATGTTTCTGTATTACGGAACTTCAGTAGAGAGACTCGATCTCGGAGGTTTTTCCGTTCCCCTTCGTTTCCTATCTGCGTTTGTCTCCATCTTTACGCATTTAACCGAGTACGGTCTAGAGAATAAGTACTTTAATGAACGATTTTCTTCCAAAGTCATATTTGAGATTTTATTCTGACCGTCAACAAAGTTTCTTAACAGAGTGCAGAAGAAAGAAACGGCGATACCTTTTATGACCCCTCCTGCAATTCGAGTATCAGAGACTTGTGCGCGTTTCGGTATTATCAGAGTTGCGACGCCAAACCATATGTAGAACTAAAAGTAACGATTCTCTGATACTTACGCGCAGCTTTGAAGTCTTTCAAAGAGGGCATATAAAAATGTAATTACTTTCACTTTTCCCCAAGCGATTTCTATCTTATGCTAGTTCACCAGACGTCATAGAGTTAAAACTTTTTCATTTGCAGAGGTTCTAAATGGTATCTGCAACTCGAGCAAGGACGAGGAGAGACGGCGTAAAGGTACGACTTGAAATGCTTTGTACACTCTAAGATGCCTGTCCTGCCTTTATTTATCCTAAGAATCAAATAGAAGTAACAAAAGATATCGATTTCATAAGGGATACGTCTAAATATCTCAAATGACTTTTTTACATTCGTAATATCACTTAAGGTCGTATTACTACTTTTTTGGCGACAAGAATCGTAACCGTATGCAGAAAATTAATATTTTCTATATATGTATATTGATGTTTACATAGTAACTTAAAATATCTAGATTGTTCGTTAATAAGAAAACTTACACTTTTCGAATATGATTTCCGAGCCGAAGAGCATAATTTTATCGGGGACGAAGTGAGTCTAAAATAAACAGTTAAATTATATAAGTGTATTATCCATGGCTTAACTTAGTACATGAATATTTAATTAATGTACAGGAATCGGTTCGTAAGTGACGGCAATATGGTGAAAATCATTGATAAACCAATTACAAAATATCATCTTTCTAATGACTCCCACGTTATCAGGTCATTCCAAAAGTAGTGTCGGTATCAGCCTTAAGTTTAGAACAGGTGTAAAACATAAACCACTCGGTAATTTAATTAAATATAAAATCTCCATTATCTCCATGACGTCAAAAAGGTTAAGAACCACTGATCTAGAGCGTGCTTGAATCGATTGGCACATGATTTCAAGTATTAAAATCCACGATTTCGTGAGTGAATCCCCCCTTGGCAGAAAACCAAAAAGTAAGATGGCAACGGGGCGTCAATGGAACGATACAGGACGGCGGAAAAGATCTTGCTGGAGTATGCATAAAACGGCACTGGTGGCACTCGGAGTATCCTTAACAATGAGCTTCGAGAGCCGGCAGGACCACCGAATTGTGGAAAACCCCTTCCGCTGATGCCGATAGGCCACTAAGAGACTGTTAAGCATCAAGCAATTAACAGTACTGAGCAAAACCCCCACCAAATAGGCCTCCTCGATCCAGTCTCCCGGTCGCAATTACCCAATGTATGACATAAAATGCGGTAGACTTGTTACAACTATTACTTACATCCAGTTGATCGAAGAGGATGCCGCCGAGTGCTGCCGACCGACGCTGAAATAGAGTTAAATAACAAATTCGGTGCTCCTTGGCATTGCTCCGTCCCGGATTGTGACGGCAGAATTCTGCCACTTCGCGATACATACTTTAGTAATTTCTCCTCTATTTTTATAAACTTTATGGGCTCAGAGTAGGTTGATATCTAGAACCCCTCCTTCCGTTCCCTCGACTTCGTCCGGGGTCACCTGTTTAGGTATTCTTGCAGAAATGTTGCTGGTTGCTCTTGCTACACCTCTATGCTCGATTGGTCCTCTCCTCTCTCTTTCTCTTTCGCTTCTAATGTTTTAACGATAAATAACTCCGGCCTTCGGCCATCGCCTACCTGGCGTTTCATCCTCTCTCCTAATGGTTTACCTGTCACAGAAAAATACCGCGTGCCCCGAGTTCCCAGGCTCCTTGAAAGACGTGCACCTACCGTCTGATTGCTTTTTAATTAAAAGTAAATTAATTTAAAAACTACCACGTTCCGATAGGAACTGCGGAGAAAAATAGTATATTCTGTTCGCCGTGCTTTCTAAAATACCATAGGTGTATGCGTGGAATTAGCCTTGGAAGCATGTTCCACGGTTTCCCTCCTCCATTCGCTCTGCTATCTAACAACCGTAGCTGCTCTTTTTGTCCTTTATTTTTCAAACGGATCTTTCAAATGCGATGCGCTGCGTTGCCTTTACGCCGCCATCTCCGAGCCTTTGCGCATGCGCCTAGGGTTAGCTGGCCCTGGCGGCTGTCCGTTCGAGAGAACCGTTTTCAGTCTTTCGCGAATATTGCGTTTGACGCTTCAAGTTTTTAGAGAATCCGCCTCCGAGGAGGACTGCCGCCCGAAATTTTGAGTTGTTCCTCGGGGATAAATGAAATTTTAAATTAACGAGCAGGCCCGCTAGAGCGATCAAACAAGGGTAGACGCCGCGGATTTCCAACGGTTCGCCCTCCCTCCGAAATGAGAATCGCCGTCACCACTCTAATGCCGACCGCTAATATTTAAATGCAAGAAAACGAGCTGGTAAACTGAACAATTTGTCTCTCTCAAAGCCTTTTTTCTTAAAGGAAAATTTATCGTTCCATTTACTATAAATTGGGAGCTGCAGCTATTTTTTATTAGTTGAGCGTCCTCCTGGGTTTTGTACGAATTTCGTAGGAACGGTAACAATGTTTATAGTAAAGGTTTTTACCATTTTGGAATAGTTAGGTTACCTTTTAAATATTGTCAACTCTCGTTGCAAGATGTTGTTAACCCTACTTTTAGTAACTGCAACAATATTACTAGTACAACCAACGGAACGGCGGAACAGATAATTTTACTATAAATAGTATCCAAGTCCTTAAATTTACGGTAAAAAATTACTAGAATATCTAAGACATCTGAATAAATAGAGTATTAAAAAAACGACATTACTTTTGGGATAACCTGATGTTTCCGGTAAGTGTTGCTTAACGGTGCGTTTCTATTTTTTATCATTAGGTTGCATTCCGGAAGATAGGGAAAAGCTTTTTATGCTTATTCTTCGGACAAACCCCAATCTTCTTAAAGTGGGATAAAAGGGTCATTCGAAACATATAAAACGCAAAAATATTTATAAAACTTTTTCCCAAACTGAGTGCGACGAATCATTTGAAACTCCAGCACGAGGTTACAAAGGCCCTAAGGAAGAACACGGTGCTTATGAAATTTCATTTTTTAAAAGAAATATTACAATTGACCTCGGTCTCCCCTCCTGCCTCCCACTCAACCTTGTTACAGATTTATTATCCTGTGCATCCAGGATTCGCATTAATAATCAATTTTATATATATATTTGACGCGAAGTTCTACTATATGAATTCACGGATTACAAGTTGACGAACGTTACAGGTCCCTGAAATAAATCATCCGTATGTCTAAACGTAGCTCATGGATTAAACATGGTTGTTTTAACAATTATGTCAACTCTAACATTGATATAAATTCTCCTACTTTAAGGATTTAAAATTCAGAATAACACTTATATTGCCGTTACTTATTCACTTTCGCTAATTCGTTCTTGCCTCTGGGTGGAAATACTAATAATTACTGTATCATTTACTGACCGTTATCGATAAACTTACTAATATCGTAACAAGTCTATTAATAATATGTACGATTGTTCGTCACAAGAGCATACGTTTACGCCTCTTTAAAGGACACGCGTTGTTGCTATTCCGGTCAATTGTAATTCGACTAGCGAATGTGCATGGCCAGGAAAATTCTCTGTCGATTCGAAGTTAAAAAGACATTTGGTAAACGGCGTTCCATGAAACCTTCGGACGGTCTTGGGCCAAAAGGGGAATTGCCAATCAGACTCCAAATGAACATTATCCATTGGCTTTTTCCCCAGGTGCAGGGTACCACGAACTGTACAACGGCGTCGTCTGCAACGATACGATACTCGCGACCGGTGTCTTCAGTTCGAAGGAGCTCTGGATGCTTTCAAAAGGTACGATCATGCTCTCTTACCTTTGAGCAATCGTGTAGTATTATTTTTACATAACGTTTTATTTAACAAAATTCATATTACCCGAGAGGAGGATTCAATGTATTTAACTTAACTCGAATAGTAGAGAAACGTTCAACGTTAATTATTTCTTTCAAGGAAAAGTGCTTTGGCGTCCCCCTCCGATTTTCTTCTACTTTCCGTATTTTGTAGTTCCTACAATTCTAAGCGACACCTATTGTTTTATATCTGCTAGAAAAGAGTTTTAAGGGATGAAATTACCCTCCAAATCCAACCCTGCAAGTGGCTGTTTTGGCAGTTTCATATAAAAGCACCCAACCGATTTGAATGCAACCTACGGGAAACCGTTCCCCCTGGGATCCATATCAAAATGCCCATAGGGTTTCTTCTGTCGGGCCATTTTGAAGGGGTAAACGATCCCATATATCCCTCTCGCTAAACCCCCAGGGTAGGGTTTTCATGCTTATTTAAGTGAAATCGATTTTGAACGCACTGAGAGACAACTTAAATTAATTCTTTTTTTAACTGGTTATGATAGTTCAAGAAGGACTCGGATACATTTTATAGTTAAATTAACATTTTTTTCCTGAACTAGGAAATATAGAAACGGTTACTATATTTTTCTACCTTTTGGGAGGAGTAAAATGAACCATTCTACGTTTACTATACTTCCCTAAGGAAAATAAGAAAACTTCTTACCGTTTGTATAGTAAAATTTCACTTTATCGTTACCGTACCTGATGTATCGTCGTATATTTTACATGCCCAGATAGTATTATTAACTGTTGCGAATAGTTCTGTAAATCATTAAATCCTTTCCAAAAATAATCTTTTGTAATTATTGACGTTTCTTAAACTTATGCTTGACCGGTTGACGTTCTCGCATGTCTTAACGTTAGTTAAAGATGGAGTAGGATCTGATATGCAAACAAGCGATCCGGATCCTTTGCAAGAAAGCATCGCCATCTGTCGGTGTCGTCGGAACTAACTTAAACGAAGTTTCTAGGAACGTTCGGTAAAAATTGCAAGTTGATTTAACCGAGCCGTAACGTTAAATGGTTGTACCAGTGATATTGTTGCAGGTACTAAAAGTAGAGTAAATAACGATGTCTTGCAAGGAGAGGTGAAAGTATTTAAAAGGTAACCTAATTATTCGAAAAATGGTAAAAGAGAAACTTTACTATAAACCCTGTGACCATTGCTACAGAAACTCGTACTAAAGCCAGGAGGATGCTGAACCATTAAAAACTAGTTGCAGCTTCCAGTTTATAGTAAATCAGTAAATCAAACTATAAGTTGCGTTCCTTTAACAAGAAGTGGCTTTAATAGGGTCAAATAGTTCGGTTGACAAACTCCTTATCTGTCGGTGTAGGATAACGTATGAAATATTTCTTTATAAACTTATGGGAGTCTTAAACGATACAGTCCACGAAGGTACGAAGCGACTAAGTACCGAAGGAAAGTGCGTAACCGTTTGTGTGTCTGGTTTCAGCGTCCATACTGCATGACCTCAGCGACATGCAGCCTCAAATAAACGCGATCAAAATAGAGCATCCACCATACTACTGCAGCAGCTACACCCCTCCATCGGCTGCCGCGGCCACGGATCACGCCCAACCGACGGCTAGCTTCAGTAAGTCAAATACTGGATATCCCGCCATTCTCGTCAGCTCCTATAAGTCGAAGAAAAGTACACCCGAAAATGACCCGATAGGAAAGTAATTAAAGCGAGGCCCTCCTTTTTCTACGACTCGCTTCGTTTCAGCATAAGAAGTACCAATAAAGAAAAAGAATTCGTGGAATGCCCTCGCGGTTCACGTTAAACTTCTTCATTTTAGATGGAAGAGTTGAGGATTACGCAGGAAAGAATTATCAGTTGCCGTTCCTAGAAAACTGCTGTCTTCTTTAGGGAGATTCGACGTCGTTTTCAAATTACTTCAGTTGCGGAGGGTACAATTTTTGGGTTCAAGTTAAAGAACTTCAAGACCCGATGAATCATTTGTAATGACCCAATATTGCAAAGTTTCTCCCCATACAGAAGCAATCTCAGGGCAGCAATACGAATAATGAGGGAAATAACTTTTGAACTGAACGATTAATGCCCGATTCCGCCAATGTTAAAAAGCTAATCCTCGGTTACTCCGAGTTGGACCTTCCACCGTATTTTAATGGCGGGTTAACTTCCGTTGTTATTTTTCGGTCGTCAGAGTATTCAACCCCCTTGATAAGAATTATGGGGGAAAAGTATGGGTAGAAAGTAGGATGGGGAATACTCGGGGTCGTAACGACGCACATTTTTGGTCATTATTTGCGACCAATATTCAAATTATGACGTCGCGATGACGTTATATCTTATCAGGTCGATAGTACGTCTTGAATGTGGGGATAATTTGACGGTTCTTTGTATTCATATATTTGGGAATCGTTCATTTTCATTTGTCTCAATTTAAGCTTAAAAAATTGTTTCCATTCAATGCGTCCTTCACCAATGACTAATAATCGGTTTACTTGTGTTTATTCACTTGTAAAGTGCAAATGCATATATATGAAGGTGCAGAAGTATTTCTTTCGTGAGTCATAGAATGCTGAATAAATAATTAAAGTAACGTAATCGTTATTCCTTATTGTAGTCATTTTCGGTGGCTGTTGATATAGTCATATTTCCGTCATAGGGTTGCAACACAACGGTGTTAGTTTAAGTCACCTGGACGTCATAATAACCTGACTTATGACGTCAGTTTTGACCAGATTGTGACGTTATATTGACGTCCCTGCACTGAGAGAAAAACAGATGATAAACTATATAATTTAACCCTGTTAAAGCCATTTTTGTTAAAGGAACGCAATTTATCGTTTGGTTTACTATAAGTTGGGAGCTGTAACTATTTAGTAATAGCTGAGCAAAGTTCTTTACCATTGTAGAATAGTTAGGTCACTTTTTAAATACTGTCAGCTCTCGTCCGAAGATGTTATTTCGTCTACTTTTAGTATCTGTAACAATATTACTGGTACAACCATTTGACATTATGGTTTGGTTAAATCAACTTCCTATTTGTACCGAACGTTACTAAAAATTTTGTTTGAGTTAGTTTCGACGGCACCGATAGATGGCGACGCTTTCTCGCAAATGATATGTCTCGCTTGTTTGCATATAAGCTACTTCTCCTTCCTTAACTGACGCTAAAATATGCGAAAATGTCAATCAATCAAACATAATAAGTTTAATAAACGCCAATAATTACAACAAATTATTTATGAAAAACGGTTTTATGACCAACGGAACTATTCGCAACAGTTAATAATATCATATAGGCATGTAAAATATACGATGATATGTCAGTTACGTTAGCAATAATAAAGTGAAATTTACCTATATAAATAGCAAAAAGTTATGTTATTCTACGTAGGAAATTATAGGAAATGTAGAATAGTTCATTTTACTCCTCCCAGAAGGCAAAAAAATATAGTAACCGTTACTAAATTTCTCAGTTCATAAAAAATTGAGATTTCACTATAAACAGTATCCTAGTCCCTTCTGAACGATGAAAACTAATTAAAAAAGATTTAATTTAACTAGATTTTTCTCTCAGTGTGGACTTCCTGTGTATGGCCAGTTTCGGCTTGGTGTGCGAGACCATATATCCGTCGTTAAGGGGATATGAAAGTGGCACCTGAAAAGTCAATCGTTCATGAAACCTTTCTACGAACGGGAGTACCAAATCGTTTCTAACTTCACGACCGGAACATGGAGGCCATAAGAAAGGTCCTGACCCTCGTGAAATTTCATTTTTGATAAACAATTTTGAAAATACCTGTAAACAACTTTCTAGAAAATTGAAATTTTCTGGGGGTCAGGACCTCCCTTAAGGCCTCCACATTCACATTGTCAATTTTTAAACGATTCGATACCCGGTGTATGGACAAAAGTTTCATAAACGAGACCTTTTTGTCGCCACTTTCACATCACCTTAAAGGTTAATCGGTAGGAGTTATTGTTAGTAGCATTTATTAATGAAATGGTGTTATTACATAGGTCCACCACCGGTGCATCAGCTAATACGAAATGATAAGACTGAAAAGGCTCCGACGGTTTCGGTATCGAGTGCGCCAACTTTCTCCCCGATTCTCAGGCCAGAAGATAGTCATCGTGGTATGGACTCTCCTCACTCTCAAACGGGTATGTCCAATCGCCTATCGTTGAAACATGCCATAACGAACCATAGATTACGCGGTGACTCGTCACTATATAGAGATTAATTGTACCAAATAATACGAATAACCGAGATTTCAGTCGATTTGATGCAAACAGAAAGGGAGTCTAGGAGAAAGCACGACCTAAACGGGATATGAGTCGTACGTAGAAAGCTTTGGTATCGTTACAATCCTTTATAAACAGTTTTTTCGACTCATCATTTTGAATGGATAGTTGTATTCTCTTTGTTATGAGTACAATCTGCCTTATGCCAATTTTGTAATAATTCCTTGATGACCATTCCGAAAGTTTCATATGCTTCTTCTAGAAAAATCTTATGGCCGTCTTCAATGAAATATTCCTCTTGATATTTCTTAATATTTGAAAAGAATGTTTGATTACATAAAACAAACATGGTCAATTGAGGAATATCTTTGAATGAAGTATATACCTGTTCGACTGTATCGTATAGAAAAAATATGTTTCGCTCAAACATATTTCTTCTCGATCTAATAATTCGTTTTCTCGGTGAATTCTGAAAGTGGCGTTCCTGAATTTGTAGCGTGGTTCGCCATTCCGCTGCAAGTTCAGGTTAGTTAAACGGTTGTACGAGTAATATTGTATCGGTTACTAAAAGTAGAGTAAATGACATCTTCCAACGAGTCTTGAAGATATTTAAAAGCTAACCTAATTATTATAAAATGGTGAAAACCTTTACTGTTAATATTGTTACGGTTACTACAAAATTCATACCAGAGCCAGGAGGATGCTCAACTATTGAAAAATAGTTGAAGCTACCGATTTGTAGTAAATCAAACGATAAATTGCGTTCCTATAACAAAAATGGCTTTAACAGGGTCAAATTGTACAGTTTACCAGCCTTTTTTCTCTCAGGGTAGAGAAACGAAAAATATGTCATTTTTCTACGTAATTTCTCTCCCTGTTGATACATTTTTCGGACCGTTGCATTAACTTCAGTATAGTAGTTGAACATTAAATAAATCATGCGGGAAATAATGAGAGAAATTTCATAAATGCGTGCAGGGAAATTCTAGGATATCTCGGGAGCGACGTGTGCTCTGTAAGTGTCTTTGGACCCAAAATTTAGTTGCAACGAATGTTGCTGTTGGATTAGAGTTTAAAAAATCATGAGTTCTAGAAAATAAAAGAACCCTTTTACCAACGTCGGTTTAATTTCTCAGGGCCTTTCACATCACCCCAACGTTTAGTGTTACCCTGTATTGTTCCGAAATTTAATTTCACCCTATTTGTGCAGGTATTCGCGATTCTATCTAGAATTATCATCTTTGAAGGTCTTGCATTTGGTGTTTACCAACTTAGGAGTTTTAAAAAGGTTCAATAAAATTATTATCGGCAACAAACTCTCCGAGACTCCCTTTCGGAACTTCTCACAAAATATTAATTGTGAAAAAGTAAAGTGAAAACAATTTTGTCTCCTAACGAAGGACAATGATTCATAGGGTGACATATGCAATCAATGAGACTCTTAAAGAAGACATCTTGTCAAAGAGGAACGTTATTAAATGTACGACAAAAACACGTTTAAATGATGTGACAATCCCTAGTGGCACAAAATATTTGTCTTATATTATCTATATATTTAACAAATATTATTACATTATCGTACATTAAAAATGTATTTCTATTAGGAGCCAAAAAATAAAAAAATATAATTTTGATATATGTTTATAAATTATTAACACTAAATATGTCAGTGTGGTTTCCAAAAGAAATTTACAAGACGTCCTAATAAAATGTATCGCTTGAGACATGTAGCAAAGATTACAATAAAATATTTAGAAATAATTCTGTGCTACTAGGGAATGGGGCGAATTGCACCAAAGCAATCAGTAAAAACATGACATTACATTATGATAGAAAAGAACGATGCAAAACGCGTTCCGAGAGTTCTCTAACAGTATAAAAGACCCGCGAATGTTAACCAGTCTATGCTATAGACTAACTTAACTTTCATTTTTTTACTTGTTTGTGCTCTGCTTAACTTGGCATTAAATGAACTCCCGGTTACGTATCGTAAACTGGGGCTACTTGGACACCTTTTACGCACTTTTTTTCAATCATTCCGACAATACCCAATATTGCAAACTTAAAAAAGGTATCGAATTATCATGCTAAATCAGCATGCTAAATCTGACACGTGCAAAAACGTTAAGTGTGCAATTGAAAACGAAAACTATAATAAAGTGACCAAGCTACCCAGGGATTGGAAGTACTCAGTTTACTCCAGAAACTTCTGTTTTTAATTATATGGACAAAAAATTTCGAATATCTACCAGGCTCAGAATTTTTTCCACGAATGAGATTTCCGAGGTGTTTGATGTTCCTCTTGCCAACTTTTGGCATTTCAGTTCGATCGGTTCCTACGGCTTTTTCAAATTCTCGTTCCTGAAGTAGCAATATAATACGAAATCTCTTCATCCTCTTCCTCGCGATTTTTATTCAACAATTATCCGACACAGGGACAAACATAGAAACAACAGGTTTGTTTGGGTTCGTTGTACTCTCTGCACGTGTGTAACCGATTGCAATACAATTTACTTTACTCCGAGAGAAAAAGAGCCGCTAAACTGAACAATTGACCCTGTCAAAGGCATATTTTTTAAAAGGAACGTAATTTATCGCTTGACTTACTATAAATTTGGAAGCTGCAACTATCTTTTAATAGTTCAGCATCTGCCTGGCTTTTGTACAAATTTTGTATTAACGGTAACAGTATTTCTAGTCAAGTCTTTAACCATTTTGGAATAGTTAAGTTACCTTCTAAACATTGTTGACTCTCGTTGGAAGATGTAGAAGCAATGATTTCGCCCCATTAGTTTCGACACGGGCCGCCAGATGGCCAGATTTCTTGTAGGCGATACAAACAGCTCGTTTGCATACCTGTATATGACCCGTTACTGTTCTTAACGTTTAAGTTACAATGAAAAGTAGATCAATTTAGTTACATCGACTGTGAAGTAACAGTTACTATGTTCTTTTTACCATATCACGATGGTTACTGTAACCTCCTCCGAAAGTTGTCCAGTATGTTGCCTTGCAATAAGGCTACGATTACCACAATTGTGGTTTTCCTGACCATTCTTATATTTACGTGTGACTCATGGGAAGGCATTTGTGTCCGTTATTGTACACTATGTGTGAAAACGCAGCGAACCCAAACACACCTAATAACACATAGCCCAAGAAACTAGAGGAGAACAAAATAAACGTTAAAAATGCCAAGTGCAACCAAGTTATGCCGGGGTGTCCAAGGACCCCCAAATTACGGTAACTAGGAATGCAAGCTGACTAACAAACATTTAACATCGATTATCTCTGAGCCCATTGTGTATCTCTTTTTGCCCAAATGCTCCCCACTGCCACATCGAGTCGATGAAATATTGGTCGGCTGATCGATTGATCGATGCGCTCACAACAGCCGAATCACCCATTGTAACCGACTTATTATTGCATGACGTATCCTTACCGATTAATTGGGGCGATTAATTGAAGAATTAGTCACCTATAACTGTTCGACTACGACCTATCGTCGTAAGGATGCTTCCGTTCATTCCTTCCGGGATTTGTAAATATTGTAAAGCCGAGGAAATAATGCGATTGCATTCTGTACCTGATCGAATCGATGAAGTGTTCCTTATTAAAGGCAAAGAATCGTGTGTCTATACCGAGGCGATATTCGATAAACAGACATTTTTATATTAAAGGTGCAACAATATACGAGGGCATTTGAAAGAAATAACGGCGAACTAAATGTTTCAAGAAATTTAGAGAAACGAATGATGTGCCTATTTTCACCGTAATCACTCTCCTGTTTAATACAATTTTCACCCCGTTGCATCAACTTCTTCGTTCCACCAGATGAAGACGTCTTTGATTGGGCCTTCAGCCAAGAATGGACCGCTTCTTTAACCTCGTCATTTCCAAATCTTCACGTTCTCAAAGCGTCCTGCAAGGGTCCAATAACAATATAATCGGAGACAACAATTCAGTATGGGGGATGTAATGGCTCGTGTCCACGTGCAAGTAACTCGCCACACTGTTTGCTAGAGCAAATTGTATTTGCGTATTCACTCGTAATAAATGTTCAGCAAGAATTTCGGGAGTGGTTCAATATCGACTTGCGCAACTTCAATTTCTGCAAGCAGACGTGTACACGAGCTTGCGGAGGAGTGCAAATTCTTGCGCAACTTCGCTTCGAATATCGTGTACACCAGGGTTGTGTAAGTATAATACGTCAAGTAATATACGTGGTTTTCTACACGTATATTACAACGTATAATACATCCCTAGTTTTCTACGCTATTAAGGGAAGGATACAGTTATTAAGGGAATTGCGCTTTATGCATCCACAAATCCGCGCACATTCGAAATCAGCTTTGGAAACTTGAAATGTATGCATATATGTGCATTTGACGTTTGTTTATAACGGCTGATAACGGCCATTTGAAGTCGTAAGATTTGTAACCAATATTTGTATCAAAGTGTATAAAGGTGGAAGACCAAAAAGTAAATTATGGGTGAAACAAATGGACAAGATGGATGTTTAGAACCTAGCGGATACCGCATGCCTTACGTCTGTCTTGTCCGCCATATTTGATACGTTTTCTCCTGGTTTTCTACGTTTCCTACGGTAAACTACTTGATTTACGTAATGTACGTCAAAAACCTCGAAAATCGTGAAATTACCCAACCCTGGTGTACACTATGGCAAGAACTGTCCCAGAGCAGCTCTCGCAAGGGCACGTGGTGCACCTAGACATGAGCCATAAGAACTGAAATCAATCTCCTATCAATCTGCTAATGATGCCAAGAGTTGCAGGATCAGGTCATGCAGAGAGATCAGAGGGACACGTCAAAGAATTGGTCCATACCTGGCCGAAGTCACAAGCAAAAACGCTTTTGCCTGACAAAATGAAGAAGTGGAGGTAACGGGGTGAGAACTA